AAAAAAAAAAAAAAAGGAAAAATAAATAAACTTTAGTATCCATTTTTCTCAAAAATTGTATCTCCAGGAAACCAAAGGACTCACCTATAAAAACATGTGCATCAAGCATCTACAGTTATCCAGAAACATTTAACTCCCTTCAATACATGTTTGATATAATCCACTTTGTATCAGGCACTGTGCTTGGTGCACAGAAAAGGTCAAAAACAAATACTACGTGGTCCCTGCCCCACAAAAAGCTGAACTCGCAGACACACAGAATAACTGAAACACAATGTGTTCAGGAGGAGAACATCTTTGTGTTGACTTCCATGGGAATCTAAAGGAGGGAATAATTACATTCATTTGCACCAGGAGAGAAGGGCTTCTCAGAGGTAGTAACATCTCAGGGCCTGGCAGAGTAAAGAAAAGTGTGTCAAGTGAACAGAAAGACAAAGGGAATTCCAAATAGAGGAGATCCACAGGCAAAAGCACAGTGGCAGGGGAGTGGCCTAACCTGAGACTCAGGTGCCTTGCTGTGATCTAGAGGCCTGAGTGGTAGAACAGGACAGAAAGGCTGGAGAAGGAACATGAAGGGGAGAAGCTAAAACTTAAAGACGGTCTGATAACGGTCAAATGTGCCTGGCATTTCATAGCCATTGTCTCCTTGACATGTCACAAAGACCCTAGGAGGTGGGTAATATTATTCGCATTTATTTTATGTTTGTAACATTGCATTTTGACACATTGTAATTTCAAATTTCCAGAAAAGTGGCAAGGATAGTACAAGTAGCTCCTGTATATCCAGCTCAGCCAATTATTTATGTTAACATTTTGCCCCATTTGCCTTGATTTTCTCTCTCTGAAGCATGTGAGAACAAGCTACAGTCATGTTGTCCTTTTGCCCTAAATAACTGAGTGTGCATGTCTTTAGAACAAGGTTTTCCTCTTGTATCAGTGTATCAAAATCAGAAAAGGTAATAGTGATACAATACTATAATATTACCTCATTCACAGATCTTTCTTTAGACTTCATCAGTTGTGCCAATGATGTCCTTTACAGTTATACATTTTTTTTTTTTTTTTTTTTTTTTTTTTTTTTTTGTTTTTTTTTTTTTTTTTTTTTTTTTTTTGAGACGGAGTTTCACTCTTGTTACCTAGGCTGGAGTGCAATGGCACGATCTCGGCTCACCGCAACCT